TTCAATGTTATAATCTGAAGAGAATAATTTTTCTTATTGCGTTTTTTATGAAAATTATAAAATATTTTGTTTAATTGTAAGAAGTGTGTGGTGCGCGCGCGCATGGTGTGTGTATGTGTATGTGTGTACGTGTGTGTAACTTGCCTTGCTTGTAGATATAACATTATCGATACGATGAGATAAGCAGTAGCCATACAAATCCACACGTCGCCACCGAGAGGAAGCAAAAATGAGAAGAAATCCACTGGCTTCTGTTCCGGTTTGGTGTATACAATACTGATACCTAATATAAATTACATTTAAACATCGTAAATTGATATAACATATATAAAACTTATCGCTTTATTATTATTTACTTTGTTTTTAAAATACTTTTAACATTGTTTAATTTATTTTTTAGTTCTCTAAAATTTATAACAAGTAACGAAATTATAATATTTTTTACAGCATTTCAGTATTGTTACCTAGGTTCATGAACGGCAAACTAAAGTCTACAGCTGACTTGCGTTGAAATGTTATTGTGAGATCGCATATGGCCAAATCAGCTTCCTGTAAAAATAAAGAAATAATAAGTAATAGATCACGGAAAAATTGAAGAAATAGACGTACATTTTTATTTATTTTCATGACATAGAAGAGTTCGATAAAATTGAGAGTAATAAAAGGTTGTTCTTGAAGTGAATTTTAGATAAAAGATGAATTTTTTGCGTCTTCAAAACTATTATTAATTTTTAGTACGAAAGTAGATAGTTTGTTTACATTTTTGTCCTATCTTTCTGTGAAAGAAATTTTTTTTGCTTAACCCTTCGTAGTCACACTTCTCTAGAATCCCGCGGTAGTCATACTGGGTCGTATTGACCCAGTCGATTTTTAATGGTTGCCATTTTAATGGTATGGTATCGGTCCGATCGGGTTCAAATAATTCTGGAACATACCTTGAACATTCTAGAATATAAAACAACTGCGGTTTTGTGAGAAATCAAATGGCAACATGTGTGTGGTTGAAAAAAAAATCGTGAACGAGTACATGCGCAAAAAAGTAGTTTTTTCACTTAAAAAATCATAACTTTTTAAATATAATAGTAAAGGCTCATAAGATTAGAAATCAATCAAAGAAAGATGGAGCGTGGAGCCGTAACAAGGTGTTGGTGGTCATGTATTCTATACTTATGTATAAAGAAAAACGAATTTTGTAATGTACATATCGTACATATTCCAATTTAATAGACTGCGCGCCGCAAATTTGTCGGACTTGAAACACAGCTATCTTGGAACATTAATACCCTTCTCTACCCCGGAATTAAATCTACACGATTTAATTGTTAGAAAAAACGTAAAGAAATTATTGCGAAAAATATTACCTCAGCATAACTTTTTAATTTTTTAATTTTTTAAAATAAAGTTTGGCGGTTGTACTCCTAAAATACGACACTTTAAGAAAAAAAAGTCCTCTAGTGCGCGTTTTAAAAAAGATATTTATTCCGGTATATGCATGAAAAGGCCCGATATTGGAGTGGAAAAAATATGGATTTATCAGAAAATAATGTGTTTTATTATTATTGTTAATATCCTGACTACACAAAAACATAAGTATTATTGTTTTTTCGTTATAAAACGACAAAAAAGTCATTCAGTCAGTGCAACCGCAGGCGAGCGTGTACCACGGAGAGACACACGCACGGTTCAAGCTCGCAAGCTCGATAGATTCTATTCGGTAAAAGATACGCATTGTGCCGTGCCCCGCAAGGCAAGATCGGAAGACCAGGCAACAGTGCCCCTCCTGCACCCGGCCGATGCGCGACACTCGTCGCGTTGATCTCTGCGTCGCCTGCGGTTGCACTGACTGAATGACTTTTTTGTCATTTTATAACAAAAAAAAACAATAATACTTATGTTTTTATGTTTTTGCTATGCAGATTGTATGCCATCTGACAATAAATAACACCGTTATTATTATAAAAACAATGGAAAAAAAATATCGCAGGTGCTATACAGTCATTTACGGTTCAGACACTTGTTTGAAGCACAATAAAAAAATCCGATTTTTTAAACTGAAATTACGTGCTAGTCACACTACGGGTCGATGTGACCTGCATTCGTGCACGATGTTTTCGCGACCGCGCTGTCATACAAACACTGACGCTTTAGTCGAATGACTAACGGTCTCTACCTATAGAGAATAGGTACTTCAAACTCTTGGTTTTAAGCCAGGCACTTACCGATATTTAGCTCCAAATTCGGGTCATATTGACCCAAGGGTGACTACGAAGGATTAAATTGGCAAGAGAAGATGATATATAAATTTAGAACAAATCTTCGTTTAAGTGGAGTTTCCGCAAACAGAATTTTTTACTTACAAAGTCCAAAAGGCGCTTGATTAGACCGTTCCAAGTTTTCGTTATTTCGTTATAACTGCCATGCATTCCGTCGGGCACAAGTTCGAATTCGTATTTGAATTCTGGGATCCTTTCTGCGATTTTTTCAATGAGATCGATGCAATAACCTTCGTAACGTTTTGACCCGATTAGAATTCCGCGTGATGAACCATCGGTCACTTCAATAACGTAGGGAGCACCCTGAATCGGACGAAATTATTACATGTCTTTCCCCCAACATATTTGTGTAATTTATTATGAATTTACATTCTAAAGAAGAAAAAAATGGAAAAAGAAACATTTTATCATTATCGTCAGTCCGAAGACTGGTTGGACGCGTATCTCTATCCTTTCCTGTTTTCGGCTAACCTACGTATTTCCTTATGATGCATTTAAAACAAAATTATTGGTTGAATATGATTGTTTTCCATTTAATTTTACTATTTTCTCTCTATATTTGTTATAGATATCTTTCCCAAGTCACATAATACTTTAAATCCATTCTTATAATATAATTTGCCACTGTCAAGGGAGAAGATATTGTGAGAGATTGTATGCGGAGGATGAGCTGGTGGTAGCCAGTGGGCGGGAAGAATATGAACAGGAGCCACACATCTTGATAGAGGAGGTGGAAAGAGCAGTTGGAAGACTGGCCAATAACAAGTCTGCTGGTATAGACTATATAACAGCAGAGGTACTCAAGGTAATGGGATCTGCCGGAACAAGAATTCTTCATCGCATCTGTCAGAGAGTGTGGACCACCACAGTATGGCCCAAAGAGTGGACCACCACCATAATAGTTCCACTCCATAAGAAGGGCCCAACCTGCAAGTGTGAGAATTATCGACTAATAGCACTCATCACGCATGCCAGCAAAATCCTACTACACATTATACATAGCCGACTGCAGCCGTTTGCCAACCGACAGATAGCCCCAGAGCAGACTGGCTTTTTCAGTGGCCGAGGTACAAGAGAGCAGATCCTGAATCTGCGACAGCTGATCGAAAAAGCTAAAGAGTACTATATACCCATGTTCTTGTGTTTTGTGGATTATGAAAAGGCGTTCGATAACGTCAAATGGCACCTACTGTGGCCCATTCTTAGGGAAATAGGATTTCCGCTGCACCTCATATACGAAAATAGCACAGCTGTCGTAAGACTCGAGAGTACTACCTCTGGAAAGAGTGTAATCAGAAAAGGGGTCAGACAAGGCTGCATACTCTCACCACTTCTGTACAACATCTACAGTGAATATATAATGAGGCAGATGTTGGAGGACTGGAATGGTGGCGTGACCATAGACGGTGAAAAGATCTCGAATCTTAGATATGCGGACGACACGCTGCTGGTCGCGAGGAGCAAAGAGGAGCTCCTTGCACTCCTGGATAGGCTTAATAACACCAGTTTAGATTATGGACTTTACACAAATAACACCAAGACAAAAATCATGATAGTCGACCGGGAACATGATAACTTCCCTGGCACGTCACGCATTGATCGTTTCGAAGTAGTCGATAAATTTGTATATCTGGGCGCACTAATAAATAACCGGGGAGACTGCGGGGAGAAGATTCGCAGGCGTATCCAGCTGGGAAGAGTGGCAATGTCCCAACTGACCAAGGTATGGAAAAGCCCCAACATCACACGCCAAACCAAAGTCAACTTGGTCAGAACATTGGTGTTCTCGGTATTCCATTACGCCTCCGAAACATGGACGCTACGAGCAGCCGACCGACGACATGTGGATGCGTTTGTGGTGCTGGCGAAGGATGCTGCGAATCTCTTGGACAGCGAGGAGGACAAACGTGTCTATACTGGAAGAAATAAATCCGTCCCAAAGACTGTCCAGCTACGTGTACAGCCGCATCCTCAAGTTCTTCGGACACATAAATCGCAGCAATACTATTGAACACCTGATAGTCCAGGGGAAGCCGGAAGGGAAGCGACGACGAGGTCGCTCACCAACCCGATGGACCGATACAGTTAAACAGCTTCTTAATACCAACATGGAGGAGGCAGTGAGGGCCACCATCAACCGAGACAGATGGCGCACCACTATTAGGGACGTTATCAGAAACATGGAAGGACAAGCATAGTCACCACACATCTGCCAAAATGTCAAGGACTTAGATGATGATGATAATATAATTTATGGATTATATAATGATTTTATAAATCACAATTTTGATAACTAATAGAATAACACCCATTAGTTATCAAATTAATTAGTGTGATCTTAATGTAAGATTAAATTAACGTATTAAACAGTAGTACAAACTATTTTAGTGCTGATCTTGAATGTCTTTTCTCTGATGGATTTGTACAATTCGCTTTCTCGCTCCTTTTCAGTTCGTAAGAGCTGCACTCCTCTGCCGGAGGCCCAAAAACCTGTTTGTACGACATCCGATTGTCGAAAGTTCATGATCTTTACGTTAAAATCCTGTCGGCGACCGCACTCGTCAATGTTCATAACGCCCGTAATCTTCCCCATCTTCGATATCTGTGCGTGACAAAAATTACATTTTGCTACGTTGAAAATAGATATGCAAAATTTGGCAATATTAAACACGATTACTTAAATTGTATTTGAATGAACTTTCGCGAAATTTGTTATATGTTAATCACATTTAATAAATTCAATGTAGCTTTACACATATAGTTTACATTAGATAGCTTTTGATATTTTTTTATACAAGTATATAAAAAGATGTAAAAAAGTCAAATTATCAATCAAATTACTTTCTCTGCATGTCTTGGGGCTTGAAGCAAAATTGCCATTTTTTAATTTTATTTTATATACAAAAAAGTGTGCAAGTAGAAACTTGCACATTGCTTCCTCATAATTTTTAAGTGTGCAAGTAGAAACTTGCACATTGCTTCTTTATAGTTTTTAAGTGTGAAAGTAGAAACCTTCGCT